GTTTTTTTTCTCCAGGCATAGTCTTTAGCGAGATCAAGTTCTCGTCTGCGCTTTGTTCCTCATTATCTAGTGCAAAAGAAAGGGCACAAAACTCCATAATTGGAGAGTTCACAGCTATATGTGTGCATTTATCTATGAATAGAAGTCTATATTTAGCACAATAGCAAGTTTTACGTAGTATTTACGTACTATGGTAATTACGTAGCTGATAATCGGGCAGAAGATGAGAAAACCCGTTGTGACAATGTCTCCAGCTTTGCGATAATTGCTCTTCAGTGTGCAATATTTTTCAGCATTGACTTGGTTGACCAGCCTTCAAAATTGAACATTATTGAGAAATTGGTAGACAAAATATAGCGTGCAGAAAAAAGTTTCCTGTAAAACTTACAAGTCAATAGCTCTAGCTGGAAAAGTGGCTACATCCTCAAAATGTGTCATTCCAAGATGGTGACAGAAGACGGTAACAAGCAAAGGCAGTAAATTTGGTAGTAGTGCTAGAAAATATTCAATTACCCGGAAAAAAATTCAAAAATATTGAGCCCTACCGATAAATATCCATATTTTTGCGTTTGTCGGTGCCATATGCTTCCAACAAACGGAAATTGCTCGATTTACCGGTACAATACAAATTGAAAGTACAGTAGCTTCCCATTGTCGAAAATATAGAAATTCAAAAAGCACTTGGCACAGTTCTGTAAAAATTGATTCCAAAATGCAAAGCTGAATATTTAAAGTGTCCCTCACCTCTTGGCCCCTGCTGCAGCGCAGGATTACTGGTTACTACAACTGAATATTCGTTTTTCCCCGGCCATTTCAATGTAGAAGGCATCAAAATAAGTTGCGAGATAGATAACAGCATATTTGTGATGGCAGCGCCAAGAAAGACCCATTTGAATTCCCCTCTGAATGGATAGACAGTTAGAGAAATATTGCACTTAACATGCTTATTACTGGATAGTGAGAATTTCTGTTTTTGTCTATGTTTTCTCTAACTCAGTCAGAATAAAGACGTGACAAAGTGAATGACTTGCTACTTCAGGATCCAACGATTGTCAAAAATGATATATTTCTGCCTCGAGAAAAGTGATCACGCTCGCTTTCTTTTAACGGTAAGTTAAATCAAACACTTCTTAGCCCACACTATATAATAGTTGATGTTTATTTTGCGAAAAATCATTAAGATCACTACAATTTTCGCAAGATAACATCAACTTCCATACAATCCAGTTTGAGTAGTTCTGTTTGGATAACAGAGGATCAGAAATAAACTTCAACAATCTGCCTTGGTATGGTTCGGAGTTAAGCCAAGCGGTCATCCTTATCTCTTTCTGGAAGGTGAACTTCAGCTGCTGGATGTTTACATTATCATATTTTCATATTCTTAAGAAAATCTCGTTTTCCACCAAAATGTTGTTAATGTTGCTCAGCGATTTCAAAGCTATCTTACTAATTACTAGGCAATAACGCAAGAATGGGTAAACCTTTGAGAGCACGCAATTGTTAGGGTATATGTATTGGGTTGTGGTAATAAATGACTGCAGCTTTATGTAGTCCTTCTTGAAGGGAAGCTAGCAATTACCAAAATGTTACAAGTTGATGTGCAAAAAAAA